GCTCCAGTATGTGTCACCATATTGGCCATCTTCACAGCAGAACTTTATGCTATTCTCTATGCTCTTCATATTTTGCTTTCCTGGTGTCAATCCTCCTTTGTGGTGGTAATTGACTCTCGTAGTGCCCTCGTGGCTTTAGGGTCCTTTTAACCCTTAAACTGCGCATGGCGTATATATACGCCCTGAGTAACATGTCCCATGGTGCGCATGGCGTATATATACGCCATAGGGTGCCAGGCCTGATTCAAATGGCCCGCGGCTACACGGGGTTCACAGTAGCTTCCTCAGGGCTCTTGTAAACAGATGCCATTTTGAAAAAAAATCGTGGGCAATATTCTCAGGTGTGAGAGGCACAGTACTGTTGGAGCAACCAAGGCCGGCGCACGCAGCATGAGCGAACAGCATTGATGTTCAGCTTGTGACCACAGCATCGCCGGAAAATGTTAAAATAAATATATAATTGTTATTATTTAGCGATGACAATATTACAGATGACCAATGACTGTGATATAAATAACCAGGGTTGTGATAATAGCAGGCTTGTTGTAATAATTAGCGCTGTGGGAGGAGTGATGCTGAGAGACGGAGGGAGACTGCATCGTTTACTAACTGTGTGGCCACCTGTTATTGTTTGCATTCACCATACCAGGTCAGTGGTTCTCTATGGTGAACACAAATGTAGATACTTATATATAATGTGTGTATTAGTGTAATAACAGCAAAAGGATTATGCTGGGAGGAGCCATATGGGTGACGGAGGTGACGTCGTCTGCACGATTTGTCTAGCTGTTTAGAGGGTGGCCACTATGCTCTTTAGGCGCACTACAGGCTTAGGTGTACAGTTACGGTGCATAAAACTTGTAGATATTTATATATAATATGTGTATATAGGGTAATAACACTGCAAAAGGTATTGTTGGGGGAGAAAGTTTAGTGCGTGTGACCTTGAAAGAGTGAGGGAGCCGCCAGCCGCCATCTGTGTATAGCGACGACTCTTAGTGCCTGAACTAACTATATCAGCTTGGCTGTACAGTTGTGGTGAACAAAATATGCACGTACTTATATATAACGTCTGTATATAGTGTAATAACACCACAAATGGTATTGTTGGGGATGAAAGTTTAGTGCGTGTGACCTTGAATGAGTGAGGGAGCCGCCAGCCGCCATCTGTGTATAGCGACGACTCTTAGTGCCTGAACTAACTATATCAGCTTAGCTGTACAGTTGTGGTGAACAAAATATACACATACTTATATATAACGTCTGTATATAGTGTAATAACACCACAAATGGTATTGTTGGGGGAGAAAGTTTAGTGCGTGTGTTGAGGGAGTGGCAGCGAGTGGCTGGCTGGTGTGTGGCGGTAACTCCTCGTTGCTTTTCGACTCTCAATACCAACTTAGTGGTTCGTTATGGTGACCAAAACATGCCAATACTTATATATAACCTGTGTATAGAGTGTAATAGCAGCAAAACTATTTGTTCATTGTTTTATAAACATAATAATTGAATCACTAATATGCACATCATACTTTTGAGTATAGCGATTATTAACCACTTTTATTATATAAATATATTACAATACACACTATTGAATAATATTACTGCAAAAAAACTAAGAAAAAATCAATCGGAGACATTGAAACAATTAGGTAATAATATCTTTGTGGCAACTCCCATCTGTCAGCGCTGGTGACGCTGACCGGGTCTGACGACCGCTCTGTCAACGCCCACTTTTTGCCAGACTTCCTCGGTCAATTGCGCCCAAAATATGTCGCCTACGATTTTTTTTTTATTTTTTCCGTGCTCAGGGGACAGAAATTAACATGTTTAGAAGACGAAAAAAATTTTTTGAATTTTTTTTTTCTTGCGCACAGGGGTGTAAATGTCCCAAGGACCCCTGAGCAGTGTAAGGGTTAATCTGGTCCACACGTTGGTCATCGAGATTCAACATTGGCTGTTTCTTATCTCCAGTAAATTTAAGTCAGTTGCGTTTTGCTGGGTTCCCAGCCATGTTTGTGTCTTTAAATGAGCGTGTGGATGCTGCTGCTAAGGAAGCTATCCGCACTTGTCCTATCTCCCGTAAAGGTATTCCTTATTCCAACTTTTACCCAGTTATTCATGCCTCTATCCTTGCCCGCTGGCAGAGTTGTTGGTCTTCTGTTGTTGGTAGCAAACTGCAAACTGAGTCATGTGTCCCAGTGGCCTTCCTCCTACCACCATAACCGGCGGTGGGAAACGGCTCTGGCTAGGTTACATATTGGCCATACCCTTTTAACTCACGGTCACTTAACACTTTCGCGCTCCGTGGAAACTCGCGGTTGACAGGGGGATCGTGGCCCCTCCGTGCGGGTAAGCGCGCGGTGACACTCAAATGTGTATACTCGTTCCAGTTTTCTCACCTTAATTCTCGCGCTACGTCGCTCATTCTGGTATCATTGTGTTCGCAATTAAATTCTCTACAGGTGTGTATAAATATAATGTCCAAAAGCCTAGCGTGACTCCCAACAGCAAAGCGTAAAGTCGGCAAAAACGCACAAAATCAGTAACATGTGCATTCTCGTTCCATTTTTTTACCTTAATTCTCGTGCTACGTCGCTCATTTTGGTATCATTGTGTTCGCAATTAAATTCCCTACAGACGTGTATGAATAAAATGTACAAAAGGCTGGAGTGCCTCCCCGCAGAAAAGCCTAAAGTTACCCATGAACGAGCACCATTTTGTACATTGCAACCTAATGTTCAACTCGTTCAATTTGATAACATCAAATTTCGTGCTACGTCGCTCGTTTTGGTATCAAATTGTTCGCAATAAAAAGGCGATTATTTTAAAACTAGTCCCAGAATAATAGAGCAATAACTGGATTTTTAACAAATATTTTAATTCTGGACGCTAATCATCACAAATTTATTTATATCTTTCCAGTGTTCTGACATAAATATTTGTGTTACATCTTTCATTTTGGTATCAAATTGTTCGCAATAAAAAGGCGCACATTTTAAAACAAGTCCCAAGATAATAGGACAATAAATAGAATTTTAACAAATATTTTAATATTCAGACCATAGACCTATTTATAATATTTCAAGTGTTTGGACATCAAGTTTCATGTTATATCTTTGATTTTGGTATCAAATTGTGTGCAATCTAAAGGCGCTTATTTTAAAACCACTACCAGATTGATCTGATAAAATTTAAATTTTTCAAAAATATTGTAATGAGTGACTCAGTATTGCGTCGTTGGAACACATTCAGTAGAAAAATAAATGACGAATTATTCAGTCTGTGGAACGCGAAAGTGTTAATGGAGTGCTGCCCTGCTCCTTATTGTCCAAATTGCATTGTCCCTTTTATGGTTGTGCATATCCTTGTTGAATGTCCTAACTTCCAGGACGATCATGTATCTTGTTTTCTAACCATATCCCCCCGGTCGTGTGTCCCTCTATAGAATTCTTGGCGACTGATACTTTTGATATTGTTCGCCTTATGCGTTTCTATTCTTGTATTGGCATTCATGGTGATATTTAACGCCCTCTGATTATCCCGCACATTTGATGGTGCTACATAGCCTTCCCGGTTTGGTGCCTTCTTTTGATAATTACTTACTAGTTCTTTTATAGTCTTTTTCCCAGTTTTTATTTTTACTATTTTTATCTTTCCTATCTCCACCTTCCTCATGATCCAAAAGCTACATCAGAAAGATATTTGGTGATAAAGCCATTTATATTGTTAACATCATTGGTCACCCCTGATGTTATCTAAAGGCAGCTGCTTGAACTGCCTCCTCCTCACTTGTATAGCTATAAGAGTGTTTGCAGTTGGAAGCCAGATAGTTGGTGCTAGTCTAACCAAACCGTTGCAGGGTGTCTAATGATTGTTCAGGGATGGTTATAGGTATTTACCTGGAGTACCTGGAGAAGGTTCTGGGAGTTCTTCTCAAGCCCAGCCTGAGGACATGCTCAACTTATGATGACTTGGTCCATCAGGGTTTTACTTCGAGTGGCCTATAGGCCCACATATCCACTACAACCCAGTTGGTCTGGCACTTAACATGATCACCACACACAAAATTCTCGGGGGAATTGACAGGGTAGATAAGGATGAATTATTTAACACAGGTGGTACTCGCACAAAGGGACACCTGTTGGAACCTGTGTACCCAAATGAGCTACAGAGACATTAGAAAACTTTTTCAGTGTCAGAGTAGTTAAGAAATGGAATGCATTAGTAAGTGATGTGGTGGAGGCTGATTCCATACATAATTTCAAATGTAGATATGATAGAGCTCAGGAACCTATACAGCAGTAGATTGACAGTTAAGAGGTGGGACCAAAAGGCCACAGCTCAAGCTCTGCAAGCACAACTAGGTGAATACTTCTTGCAGGAACTTAACTAATTGCTCTTGAAGGAAGTCTACCTTTGTTCCAGAGTCGACCCCCACGGCCTACTCCTTTATATGAAATGACAAAACTACTTTCAGTATCACTAAACAGTTAGCAGTCTCCGTGGTGTAGTGGTAAGACACTCGCCTGGCGTTCCGCGAGCGCTATGTCATGGGTTCGTATCCTGGCCGGGGAGGATTTACTGGGCGTAATTCCTTAACTGTAGCCTCTGTTTAACGCAACAGTAAAATGTGTACTTGGATGAAAAAACGATTCTTCGCGGCAGGGGATCGTATTCCAGGGACCATAGGATTAAGGACTTGCCCGAAACGCTACACGTACTAGTGGCTGTACAAGAATGTAACAACTCTTGTATATATCTCAAAAAAAAAAAAGAAAAAAAAAAAAAAAAAAAAAAAATTAGCCTGTATCCTCACTAAGATTCATCCAGCATAATATTTTCTCCATGTAGGGAAGGTGAAGGGTAAGGTAGCGATGATGGTTGTAGATGGGGGTAAATAGTGGTGCCCAGGTATTGAAGATAGTTGGAGTGAAGATGTGGAACATGTAATCAAAGTCTTCTTAACTTAAGCTAAAATTTTGCCTTTTCTTCCATAGGTTGTAGTGAGACACTGATGGCACGTGCAGTTATGGAAGCTGCTGTCCGTATCCCTGGTAAAGAAGCTCTTGCTATGGAATCTTTTGCTCGTGCTCTGCTCATGATTCCCACAATTATTGCTGACAATGCAGGTTACGACTCTGCTCAACTAGTGTCTGAATTACGGGCTGCTCATGCTGAAGGCAAATCAACAATGGGTCTTGATATGGATGAGGCCACAGTTGATTGTATGGATACTGTTGGCATTACAGAGAGCTACCAAGTGAAGAGACAAGTATTGTTATCAGCAGCTGAGGCAGCAGAGATGATTCTAAGAGTTGATGATATCATCAAAGCGGCCCCACGGAAACGCACAGATGATCAGTCGCACTGTTAGTGTTATTGAGTATTATCTTTGCCTTGCAAAATAGCGTTGAAAAGTTAAATACAGTAGTGTTTGTAACTTCTAACTTACATGGGGAAATCTGGTCTTAATAATCTTTATTTCTACAATCTTGGACAAACTTAATCTATCTTGAAATTTTAAGAGGCCCCAAAAGCCGTGGATCAGCACATGCTGATGGATTGCTAGAGTCCATGAGCCTTAATACATCCAGGGGTTAAGAATTCCTCGGGAGCTTCAATAGTCCCTGCATATTTAACAAAAGACCAAGTGCAATCCAAGAATTACTGCATTCCTAACTAAGAGGGGTAGAAGAGGGTTACAAACCTCACACAAGATCGGGTGATCAAAAGTGAATCGAGATTTCCTGCATTATTGTATTTGGATTCTCTATCAAGATAGTCTTGAATGAGACGTATTCGTGAAATTTTTATTTCGTAACAGTTGGCTGCGGAAAATAATACTGTGTTTTGCAATTATATAAAATAACAATTTTTTTCCCTCCAATTTTGGAAATTATAGTAATTAAAAGTTTATAATGAGTTTTAATCATTTTGTTAACCTTTCAAATGTGGCAATCATAAATGTATTCATTGCAAAAACTGAACAAAATCATTTTTTTCTTATGAAATGGTAGATCTGAATGTAAAAGTATGGAAATATAAAAAAAAGTCATGGGCAGTGGTCTACATTTCTTCTGACATTTTGTCAACATTACTGTACTTTTGTCATAACGCAAAGTCTAACAAAATTTCCTGTGGGACTTGAGGTGAAGGGGCACATATGACTCCCGTGTCCCTCCTATCTGGGCGTTGTAGGTGCAAAATTACACTAAGGGACAGGCTACCCTTGGAGGGTTACCTGGTTGGAGTTCTGGGAGTAGTTCTACTCCCCAAGCCCGGCCCGAGGCCAAGCTTGACTTGTGAGAGAGGGGTCCACCAGGCTGTTGGTTGTAGTGGCCCACAGGCCCACATCCACCATAGAACGGTTGGTCCGGCACTCCTTGGAGAAACTGATCTAGTTTTCTCTTGATGTCCATGGTTGTTCCGGCAATATTTCTTATGCTCGCTGGGAGGATGTTGAACAACCGTGGACCTCTGATGTTTATACAGTGTTCTCTGATTGTGCCTATGGCACCCATGCTCTTCACTGGTTCTATTCTGCATTTTCTTCCATATCGTTCACTCTAGTATGCTGTTATTTTACTGTGCAGATTTGGTACTTGACCCCTCCAGTATCTTTCACGTGTATATTATTTGATCTCTCGTCTTCTTTCTAGTGAGTACATTTGGAGAGCTTTGAGAGGATAACAATAATTTAAGTGCTTTATTGCATCTATGTATGCCGTATATGTTCTCTGTATTCCCCCTGTTTCAGCAATCTCTCCTGCTCTGAACGGGGAAGTGAGTACAGAGCAGTACTCAAGATGGGACAGTATAAGTGATTTGTATAATACAACCATCCCTGGATTTGAAAGTTCTCGTAATCCATCCGATCATATTTCTGGCTGATGCAATATTTGCTTGGTTATGCTCCTTAAACGTTAGGTCGTCAGACATAATTATTCCCAAATCCTTTACATGCTGCTTTTCTACTATGGGCACATTTCATTGTTTAAGGTCCTCATTTTTACCGTACTTGACCCCCCTACCTATCCAGCCCGTTGATGCCGTGAGGGGGCTTGATGGGTGGCTGCCGGAGTGTGATGCTCCTTGGGACGGTCCTCTGCCCTTTTGTAGCCTTGTGTTCCTGCTGCAGTCCTCTCTAATTGTGCTGGACAACTTTTAATTTTACTTCTGTTTCGTTTTTCTTCCCCCTCTTCTCTTTTCTCGTTATTTCCCGCCGACCTTTTGCCTGTTTTGATTCTTCTTTCGGTCTTTTTATTTTGACATCCGGGTATTTGGGGAGGCATACTTTTGCACCCGTAGAACTGTAGTACCCAACGTCTCAAAGGAGGGGACCCTTTTATTGTCAATCCTACTTTCGTCACTGAATCCGATCTCGACAGACTGACGGTTCTTAAGGTGGCGTTTGTGGAGTGTATACTCACGACTCGCCCCGGCATGATTGGCGATAGCTTCTTGTTGGGTGTCCTGCCTCTTAATTGTGGCTCCATGGTGGGTGTGGGGGCACCTTCATGAATGAAAGTCCTTCCTCATTTTTATGTCAGAAAATGTTTTCCTTGTACCTTCTCAGACTTGTGGGGTGGGCGACCAAGCCCCCGAGTCGGACTGTGCTGTTGGAAGACCAGGCTTTTTAGCCCCTGCTGCATTGGGCCCCAACCTTGCTCCTCCTGAATACTCCCCTCAGCTCTCCTTCCTCCTCTGAGGTAGGGTGGAGTTCCCAGCCCCCAATGGTGACCACCTCGTCCCCTGGCATGGCTCAGTCTCTCATTGTGACCACTGCGCCATTTACCCCCTCACTCGGGGTGGGGGGGGGGGGTTCTCAACGCTGTTATCACCACGGCTGCACTCGCACGATCCCTTCCCATACGAATACAACGCCTTGTTTGGTCCCACTACATGGGCTAAATACTTTGATCTCCACCATCTGGATTCTACTGATGATTTCTCCCTCCATAAACACCTTGTTGATTCAGTAGATGCCTCTGTTACTTTTAACCCTACCAGTTACGGTACGCGTGTCGTCGCTGCTCCTCAGGATGCAGCTACTCACTTGGTCGCCTTGTCCTGCATTGGGGAAACCCCTGTGCGGGTCTCCAAAAACGCTCGGTTAAATGTCAGTGTTCTCGTCCCACACCATGTTGCAACTGGTGTTAGGGACCTTAAAGACTGCCATGAGGATATTAAACATATCCTCAAAGCCCAAGGCCATTCCAGGTAGACACGTTTACTCGACCCCCTCGTGGTCGTCGCCATCAGCCCCTTTGAATTGTAAAAATCACCTTTGATAGTAGGGCCCTTCCGCCCTCTATTATTCTTGCCGGTATCAGATGCTCCGTTCAGGAGTACATTCCCTCTCCTAGACTTTGCAATAAGTGTTGGAAGATTGGACACGGTGTCCTCAAGTGCACAAGTACTGTGTATCTATGCCCCATGTGTGGGGGGACGATGATCATTCTAAGTCCGAGTGCACTTCTCCCCAGGCTCGCTGCCTCAATTGCGGTGAGACCCACCCTACCTTCTCACGCTCGTGTATGCACTATAAACTCGAGGAAGCCGTCCTCAACTTGATACACCGTGATCTCTGACTTTTCCTGAAGCAAGATGCCAAGTTCGTCGTCTCGCCCCTTTCGCGGGTGTATCCTATGCTCGCGTGTTGCGTTCTACCTCTCCTTGTCCTTCCCACCTTCCTCAGTCTCACAACCGTTTCCAGCCCTTAGACCGGAACACATCCTCCACCATCCCCCTCCCCTATTCCTTTGCGTATTGTCCCAAAAGGTCTCCCTCCTGGTTCTCCATCTGGAGTTTACCCCCTTCCTACCCAGTCCATCATGTCTCCTATATCTTCTTTCCCATCTCCCCCCATTCTTTCTCCACAACCCTCCCCCCAGTCTCTTGACCCTCCACGCTGCCTGTCTGTCCAGGCTGATGTCCATCATCCTCCCAGCAATCTTCGTGTTATTCACTCCCGTTCCCCTTCTGCGGAGACCATCGAGTCTGTCGCCCGGTACGTTGTTACTGGAACGTCTGTCTCTCCTTCCTCCCCAGCGGGTAAAAAGGTATCGCTTTCTAGCTCGCCCTCTCCCTCGGACACTATCACTACGTTCCCTCCCATTTCAGTGGTTGGGCCCCCCTGTCCCAGATATGGAGGTTTCTTTCGCCCCGATTCCCTCTCGATTGCAGCCCTTGCTGAGGTACACTCCCTGATTTTTACCCCCCCTCCTCCTACTGTCCTTGACTGCCCCTCTCAGTTGCCTCCTTTTCCGGACCCCGTCAGTCCGCCTCTGGTCTGTCCTCCCGCTCCCTTCCCTCCAACCTTACTAAGTTTACCCATGCCCCCTAACTCCGATTTTGCTGACCCTGCTCCTGAAATTCTTTAATAAATTGTGTTCTTCTTTACCTTTGTTTCTTTATTGGTCTCTGTTACTGTCCTTTCTCTTTGATAATGTCTATTCTTCAGTGGAATATTCGTGGATTTTATGCCAACTTTCATGAACTCCAACTTCTAATCACACAGTTTTCACCACTTTGTGTTTGTCTCCAGGAACCAATGCTTGGTGCTCGTCCTGGTCACTTTCCTGGTTATTCCTTTCTTTCTCCCCCCTCCCCCCCAGAGCTGGGGCCCATAAAACTTCTGCTCTGTTAATTCGTTTTGATATTCCCTCCGTCCTCGTATTTCTTCCGTCACCTATCCATTGTTCTGCTGCCCGTGTTTTTGTGGGTAAATGGTATACAGTCTGTTCCATTTATCTCCCCTCATATGTCCCGCTTACCCTTCCTGATCTTAAGCACCTGGACTCCTTGCCAGAGCCGGTGCTCCTTTTTTGGTGATTTCAACTGTCGACATATCCTCTGGGGTGATGTTCTGACAAACACCCGAGGCTGCCTTCTCGAACCTTTCGTCCTCGCTTCTTCTCCTTATCTCTTCTTAATTCTGGTGAGCCCACTCATGTGGACTCTCGGACTCGCACCCTTTTCTGTCTTGATCTTTCTCTCTGCTCATCGTCCCTTTACTTAGATTTCACGTGGTGGGTTCTTGGTACCTTCATGACAGTGATCATTTCCCCATCTTCGTTTCCTTTTTTCTTTCCACCCTCCCCTTTCCTTCCCATGGTGGCAGTTTGCCAAGGCTGACTGGAGCCTATTCACCCTCCGTGCTACTCTCTCTGACCTCTCCTCTCTGCCTCTTCCTCGCGCCCTCCTCTTTTTTCATGAAACCGTCTTCGAGGCTGCCCTCCGCTCTATTCCTCACTCTCCCTCCAGAGGCACGTGGAAGTGCATTCCCTGGTGGAATGCGGACTGTGCTCGGGCTGTCCGCTGTAAGCGTGCAGCCTGGAAGAAACATCGACGCTGGCTGATTATTTTTTGTTACGGAAGACTAGTGCGGTGGCCCGTAGGATCATCCGTACAGCTGAACGTGAGTTGGAAATCTTATGTTTCCACCATTATGTCTGATACTCCTCTGCCACAGATGTGGAAGAAGATCCACAAGATTGCGGGTAAGTTCGTTCCCGATGTCTCGCCTGTTCTCCACCTCCGTGGTAAACTTATGGGGGACCCAGTGCAGGTCGCGAGCGAACTTGGTTCCCACTTTTCTACTGTTAGCTCTGGTTCTCATCTTTTCAATCCTTATTTCTTCGTAAGCCTGTTCTTGAATCTCATCCCTTAGATTTCCACGCTCGTCTCCCTCTTCCCTATAATGATCCTTTCTCTCTTTCTGAACTTCAATCTGCCCTGGCCCTCTACAGATCTACAGCAGCGGGCTCGTATGACGTTCATTGAGAGATGCTTCTCCATCTCCCTCCATGCACGTCAGTCTTTACTGAGTCTGTATAACTAGGTCTGGGAGTCGTCGTCAGTGGCTCGATGCCGTTGTACTCCCTATTCGGAAACCAAGGGTTTCTCGGTACTTTCCCTACG